ACTGAGCCACGCAGGTGCCCTGAGAAGAATGGGTATTAACTCTTCTTTAAATGTTTGGTAGAATTCTCCTGTGAAGCCGTCTGGTCCTGCATTTGTGTTTTTGTGAGTGTTTGGATTACTGATTCAATTTCATTGTTAGTAATTGGTCTGTTCAAATTTTCTATTTCTTCCTGCTTTGATTTTGGCCAGTTATATGTTTCTAGGAATTTATCCATTTCTTCTAAGTTGTCCAATTTGTTGTCATATAGGTTTTTATACTATTCTGTTATGTTTGTTTGTGTATCTGTGGTGTTGGTTTTTATTTCTCCCCTTCCATTAGTAATTTTGTTTATTTGGGTCTCTGTCTCTAGACGTTTTTCTAGGCATTTTATTTTATTTTTTTAAGATTTTATTTATTTGACAGAGAGAGCACAAGCAGGAGAGAGAAGGAGAAGCAGGTTCCCTGCTGAGCAAAGAGCCCGATGTGGGGCTCAATCCCAGGACCCTGGGATCATGACCTGGGCCGAAGGCAGACGCTTAACTGACTGAGCCACCCAGGTGCCCCTCTAGGCATTTTAGAAATACACATGTAGTTTTTTTTCTTGTTGTTTTGTTCAATGAGTTGAGTTATTATACCTGTGATTCTATAACTTCCTTTTTGCATTTGACAATGTTTCATTACTTCCCATATGGGTCATAGAATTTCACCTCGTTTTTTTGGCCTATATAATATTCCACAGTTTGAATGGACCATAGTTCTTCCACTATTAATGGGCATTTAGGTTGTTTCTGATTTTTACTATCATAAAAAGTTGCAGTGTGTATCTTTGTATCTTTAACTTTGCACCATGAGTTAGTATTTGTATAAAACAGATTCCTAAAAGTGGATTTATTGAGTCAAAGGGAGTGCACATTTAAAATGTACATAGGTACTGACAAATCACCCTCCAAAAAGGCTGTAGATGCCTCCCACCAATATATGAAAGCCATTTGCTCATATGTTTGTCACTTACTGGATATTATAAATCCAAAATATTTTTCTTTTGTCATCTGATAGGTGAAAAATTGTACTTTGTTGTTTGAAGTTACATTTCTTGGTATATTAGTGAAATTGGTAGCATTTTTTATTTCCCAGGCTGTTAAGGACACCAATTCTGGGTCAGTCATCTGCTGTTTGATTTTTAAATAATTCTGTTTTTTTTTCTCCATTAAATAATTTGTTGAACATTTGTAGTGTCTAGGGTACTGTGCTAGGCACTGTGGCAGAATAATAATCTCTTATTTTTCAGTATGGTGCTTATTTACTAATATTCATTTTCCTACTTCTCAGAACCTTGGATTTACTGACTTGTACGAGGTATAACATTCTTTAGAAACTCTTGTGTGTTCTCTAAGTAACATAATAGCTAAATAATGGCTGTTGAGATATAAAACTTTACAAGTTCTTTCTCTGAAACAGTCTGTCTCAGGAATGTAATTATAACATTGAAAAATGTGATATTTAGGTTACTAAAATATATGTTGAAGCTTTATTTTAAATATTATTTGAAATTCAGCATTTTGATAAGTCTTTTCAATTATTGTGCTTTGTTATCTGCTGAAGTAGGAAATGAATGAGCTGTTTCAAATCAGCCTTATAGTCTGGCTAATCTACAGTGCATATATTCCACTGTAATTTATACATAATGCTGTTGGCTAGTTCCTGGAAACTCTTCAAAAGGGATCTTCAGGGGCGCCTGGGTGGCTCCGTCGGTTAAGTGACCAACTCTTGATTTCTGCTCAGATCATGATCTCAGGGTCCTGGGATGGAGGCTTGTGTTGGCTCCACACTCAGCAGGGAGTCTGCTTCCCCCCTCCCCCTGCCCCTCTCCCCACTCGCACACACACACTCTCTCTCTAAAATAAATAAAAGAAATCTCAAAAAAAAAAAAGGAAATCTTCAAACTTCACTTTTTCCTTTGTATTAGAAAAACCTACAGCTTCCTTTACTTGCCACATGATGGCAGTCTTGCATCTTAAATTAGGTGAAAGGCAGTCCACGTTAATAGAGGTTCCGATGTTCAGAATGCTGCCCAAGATCTAAACATTGGTCATTTTCAATCTGGAAGCTGTTTTTAAGGTTCATTTGCAAGGCAGCTTTTTGTAGCTTGGAATGTATTTTCCATGGAACAATGCTACAAATGGTGGGTAGGTTTCTAAATTGGCCTAACATATTTAACCTTAAGTCTCAATTGATTCTTTCCCTTATTTAAAATTTTTAAAACTATTTTTAAAAAATTGTGGAAACTTCTACACATGAATTTTGTAGTTATGGTTTTAAAAAATTTGTAATATAGCTGTATAAGAAAATATAAATTTTGTGTTTTAGCTTTTCTTATATCTTAATTTTCACACGTGCTTTCTTTCTCTAAATTTTTAGCTTCAGTTGTAGAAGGACAAAAGGGTATCATCCCTCGAGCTATCCAAGAAATATTTCAAAACATCTCTGAAAATCCTAGCATTGACTTTAGTATTAAAGTGTCTTATATAGAAGTATATAAGGAAGACCTAAGAGATCTTCTAGAATTGGAAACATCTATAAAGGATCTTCACATCCGAGAAGATGAAAAAGGCAACACAGGTAAAGTAACCTACTTAATTGATAGCCTTCATTAGCAAATATATGTGATTTAATTCAGTTTCTGGATATATTCCAAAGAATCTTTAAAACAGACATCGAAGCAAAATGCATTTGTTTTTACTTTAAAATTGAGTAGCTTTTTGATTGCCAATATCTGTTAAATCACCCAGGTGAAGCATAGTTCAGACAGGTTGGTAAGATGAAGTTAGTAAGTTGTAATTAAAGGTACTTATTTTTTATAATTGCCCCCGCTCTGGGTTCATCTCCAGTGAGACTTTGAAATAGGCTAAATTAGTTTTCGTGGGTTTTTTTTTTTCCCCCAGTTTTCCCCAGAGTGGGGATGGCTTCTTCCTTTGGTGTTTGTCCAGGTTGTTCCAGAATTCTCCTTTCTTCCTCTTTGATTTTGTCCCAGCACATCTATTGTCTCCTCTCTCTCTCTCTCTCTTTTTTTTAAATTTGGACAGTTTATGTGTTTGCTCCTCCATATTGACACTTACCTATCTTTTGTTGTGCTTCTCAAGGTCTGAATTTCTGTGCTAACAACCTGTTAATTTCATTAAATATCCAATTGTTTGGAAATGGGAGAAAGCTAGAATGGGTCAAAATACAAATATTTTGAAGAATAACACTTTCTGGGGCGCCTGGGTGGCTCAATTGTTAAGGGTCTGCCTTCAGCTCAGGTCATGATCCCAGGGTCCTGGGATCGAGCCCCACATTGGGCTCCCTGCTCCATGGAAAGCCTGTTTCTCCTTCTCCCACTCCCCCTGCTTGTGTTCCTGCTCTCCCTATCTCTCTCTGTCAAAAAAAAAAAAAGTCTTTAAAGAA